CCCCGCACGTGGGACGCCACAGGCAGCCGATGGTGCGCCGCACACCTCCCTGCACGTGGGATGCCGATGGTGCGCTGCACACCCCCTGCATGCGGGAGGCCACACGCGCCAGAGGCACTGCACCATGCGCCCTGCTCTCAGCATGCTGACAGCTGCGCGCAGGGAAACAGGACACACGGCAGCGCTGACTCGTTTGAAAATCCCCTTCCCCCACGGGATCGTTACTGAGCTGGGGTGCTCGGGGTCCCGGAGCCCGTCTAAGAGCAAACCCCAGTGAGCCGATGCTCTCCCCCGGCGCCTGCCCGTGCCCCGGCACTGCATGCACTCGGCTCCCAGCCCCAGAGCGCCTCAGAAGCATGGATCTGTCGGGGGTGGACGGGCATCCAGACCTGCCGATCTGCTCCCACTGACACCAGCTCCACTCTGGCGTGGCCATGACTGTGGCGTGGAAGGTGGTCCAGCAGTACAGGGTGATCCACTCCAGATAGGTGTCCCTGCAGTGGGCCGACCCACCCTCCTCGGCAAAGGGGCCTAGGGAGAGAGATCTGCCCGTTAGTCACCCCGGAGGAGCCGTGACAGAGCTCTGGGCGGGGCGGAGGCCCCAGCACTGCAATGCCGGCCTAGCCTGCTCTACCCCAGCTCCTGGCAAGGCACATAGGCTGGGGGAATGAAGGACCCCAACCCGCAGCTCCGTCCACTAGCTCTGCCCCCTGCAGTGCAGCTCCCGTCCCCTCCCACAGCCCAGCGGAGTCCAGAGCGTGCCCCTCGCCTCGGCCCGGCAGCATCAGAACCAGCCCCTGGCTCCCCGGAGAGGCTGTTTTGAGAGCCCCAGCTAAGACACGAGATCCCAGAGGCCTGGCCAGACACTCAGCTCCCACAGTCCGGGCTGGGCTGGGCTGGGCTGGGTGGACCCAGGAAAGTGCCTTTGTCCCTTGCCTCCTAGCAGGGCCGGGGCCCGGAGAACAAGTCTCAGTGTTAGCTGGCTGCTGGCACGGGGCTGTGACAGCAGCTCGTGGGTCGGGGGCCTGCCCCCAGGCTGAGCCAGAGCCCGTTAGCTCCAGGCACCATCGGCTGCTCTCTAGCGGCAGCGGGTGTCTCTGTGGTGCATGGTGCCCCCGTGCAGAGCCCCCCAGTCCTGTTGGGGGGACCGACACCTGGGCATGATGGGTCCAGGGGGGCGTCACTCACCTTCCTCCTCCAAATACAGGTAATGACCTGCAAGAGCAAAGGGGAAGGATCAGAGCAGGGAGGGGGCGAGCCAGCGGGGCCTGGCCGGGGTGAATCTGTCCAGCCCCCGTCTCAGCTGTGTGGGCACCATCAGCAGCGCTGGGCACCGTCTCCCTCCACCCCAGCCCAGGCTGCTCTACCCGCTAGCCAAGACCTTGGGGAATCCTCCAGGAAGGCACCCCAGGAGCAGGGGGTCCCCACGGAGCTGGGTGCCCTCAGCACTGGGTGGGAGCTCTGGGGAAACAGGTTACTGCTGGGGGGAGACCCCCAGGTGCCTGCACTTCAGCACCCCTGACAGCGCCCACCTCAGGGGCAGGAGGGGGGGCACCGGGAGGGTGTGAGGGGGGAGGTGCTATTTGTGGCACAGGGTGAAGGAGGGGAGCTCAGGATCAGGCCCCCAGAATTGTTCCCGGGGTCCCGCCTTGGGAGGCGAATACAGGGGACTCTTACTTTCATCCTCGAGGTCTCCGTAGGTCAGCTCCCCGCGCCCTGCAGCAGGAGACGAGAGCGGTCACAGCAGAGCTGGGCTTGGGCCCCCACAGGCCATGCCACACCCAGCCCTGTCGCTTGCCCAAGTGGAGGGGAGGCCCCGGCTTTGGAGGGAGATGCCGAAGGGGACGGGCTGGGGCTTCCCCCTGGGCCCTGGGGAGACCCCCCCCCCGTGGGGAGCAGGGCCCATGCGCTCAGGCGATGCACCTCCCTCGGCTGTAGCCGGGCTGTCTGCGGGGGCCAGGCTCCAACATCGGGGGCGCTGGCACCGATGGGCTGGTTCCTGAGCAGACAGATTGATTTTCCGGGCCGAGGAAGGTATGCAGCAAATATCACCTCGAACTCGGCTCCGAGGCCGGGCGGTGGGGCGGAGCCGGGGCATGGGTCTAGCAGGGCGGAGATGGAGGCAGAGGATGGAAATGCCCAGGGACTGACCGCGCCGCAGGAGGAGCTGGCGTGTCCCTCCCTGGCACATGCCCACTCATACCCCTGGGGGCCATTCCCATCCACCCCCAAGGACTTTGGATGCACTGAGCCCAGCCCCAGCCCACCAGGACCCCCAGCACAGCCCCAGTGGCTCTCGGTGCCTTGGCCCGGGACGGGCTTACTCAGCACTGCAAGAGAGGCCCTGGCTGGGAGCATGAAATGCTGATCATCCCCTGGGGCCTCCGACTGGCCGCAAATCACCTCAGAGCTGCTTGGCACCTGCTCTGCTCAGGGCTCCTGGGGTGGGGAGGGGTCCCCAACGGGACAGCCCGGCAGAAAGGAACCCAAACCCACGGGAGACGCGAGAGCCAGGAGCGCCCTGCTGGGGGCGGGGGGGGGGAAGATGGGCTGTACCCCCTCCCAAACGGTAACAAGCCCTCAGGACAGGCGTCAGCCCGACGCAGCCGACCCCCCGCCCAGCCCTTCGGGGCCCTAGGGACGGGACACAAGGAGAGCGCTCGTGCCCCCCGCTCGGACCTCTCAGCTGGGTGCTGAGGGCGTCTGAGGAGCCAGGCGGGGGCTGCGTGTGCGGGAGGCAGCGATGGGCCGAGGGACGCGCCCTTACGTTGCCTCGTCTGACTCCATGGTCTGTGCACACGGCCGGGTGCTGCATGAACCCCTGGGCCTGCGCCAGGGACCCCACTGGGCACCCGTGCCCCCGGAGCAGCAGGGAGGGCTGGCGACCAGCCAGGGTGCTGGGATGGGGACCGGCTCCCCGAGGAGCTGGGCTCTTCATGCTGGCAATGCCAGGCAGCTGGACCGTCCCCAGGGGGTGCCAGCCTAGGGGACACAGCTCCCTTCAGTCCATCCCCGCCAGCAGGGCCGAGCAGTAGCAGGTGGGTCACAAAGCGGCAGCACCTGCCCTGGGCGAGGGAGACGAGACAAATGCAGCAGCTGGAGCCGGGGCGGTTTGCCAGGTCGGCCTCTCTCTGCCCGGGCAGCATGTCAGGCCTGGAGCCAGGCTCGGCATCCAACCCGCTGGGGATCAGACCGCAGGGGCCCAGCGGGAGCTGCCAGGCCTGGGATCTTCGGGAAATCTGGCCCCACACGCAGGACCCTTACCCCACTGCAGGAGCGGGATTAGCAGCCAGCAGCAGAGGCACCGGGGCTGGCCAGGCATTCTCCCCACCTGTGGGGCCAGGGCGCAGAGTTCCCCAGGAGAGGACCAGCAGGGCCCTTCCCCAGATATCCCCCAGCCACTTATCGCCCCATCTAGCGCCTGGGCGATTGGCGGCCGCCCGCCAATGGGAGGGAAGGGGGCAGGGAAAACATCCGCTCTCCCAGGGGCTGGATCTTCCAGCCTCCAAAGTCATCAGATAAGAGGTCAAGTGAGATCTCCAGGCTGCGGGTAACTGTACAGGGAGGGAGGGAGCCGGTTCCCCTGCTTGGGATGGGGCAGGGGGCTGGGGGGTTGGTAAGGGAGCGCTCCAGGCTCCGGGACTGGGGGACAGGCTGATGGCTGACTGGTGCCAGGCATTTCTGCTCACCCGCTCCAAGGTCTTCCTAGCTTTGCCTCTTCTTTGCTGGATGCATTTTGTTAGGAAAACAGCCCCAGCCCCTGGAGAGGTGGGGCACTGGCTGAGGGCAGCAGAGCAGCCCCACAGAGCAAAGACAACTGGGGGGTGAGAAACCCACCCACGGAAAATCTCCCGGTACCAAATCTGTCTCCCACGGGAATAGGGTGACCAGATGTCTCGATTTTGGGGTCTTTTTCTTAGATAGGCTCCTATTACCCCCCACCCCCATCCCGATTTTTCACACTTGCTGTCTGGTCACCCTACGCGGGAAGACACAGAGCTGGGCTGGCCCTACTGGGATTTCAGCTGGTCGTTACACAATGTTTTGGGACCGGGTTCTTGCACCTGGGGCGGGGATGGGGAGTTGTCTAGCCCCATTTGCACTCTCTTTAGTCGAGGGCCCTGCCCCTGGAATGCCCTCGGAGAGCCGCAGTGTGATGTGTTCTGGCAGTGCCCCCAACATGCCCCTTACATCAGGGCTGTGAGCAGGGGCGTGCAGAGCCCAGGTGCTGCGAGTGGGGGAGCCATTTCTCCCCACTTTAATGCCCCAGGACTCTGCCAGAGCAGCATAGGAGGGCCGGAGGGTAGGTGAGACTAGGGCTCCAGGTAGTTCAAACTGATGCTTGGACCCCTCTGCCCCCCACCCTCAGCTACACACGTTATAGAGGGGTGCTTAATACTGCGGTGATGTGCGGCACCAGAACCTAACTGGGCTGGGCCAGGATTCTCTCCAGCTCCTGGGAACGGGCATCACGATAAGTCAGGGATCGGGCGGGAGGGGAGTTCGCTCTCCGTTAGCTGCAGCCCACAATGCCTTACAGCTATGCCCTGAAACTGCTGACCGGGCAGCTGCATGCGCCACCGAGCAGGGAGAGAGGCCAGCTCAGAGGCAGGATTCCATCCATGTCAGCAGCTGGGAGCGCCTCCCCTTCCCTGTGGGAGAAATCCCGGAGCTGGGAGCGCCTCCCCTTCCCTGTGGGAGAAATCCCGGAGCTGGGAGCGCCTCCCCTTCCCTGTGGGAGAAATCCCGGGGCTGGGAGCGCCTCCCCTTCCCTGTGGGAGAAATCCCGGGGCTGGGAGCGCCTCCCCTTCCCTGTGGGAGAAATCCCGGGGCTGGGAGCGCCTCCCCTTCCCTGTGGGAGAAATCCCGGAGCTGGGAGCGCCTCCCCTTCCCTGTGGGAGAAATCCCGGGCAGTGCAAACAAAAGCGACCAGCTCCAGCAGGTAAAGCTGAGACCATCAGCAGGGCCCTGATTCACTCCAGAGAGGAAGGAAAAGTCCAAACAAAACATACAAAGAAGGGTGATGACAAACCAGTACAGGGATAAGAGCGGGAGAGCAAGGAAACAAACCCAGGGGGCCAGACCCTTGGCTGGAGTGAAGTGGCTCAGGGCCACCCACATCACCAGAGGAACACGGCCACTCACGGCAGATGAGAATCCAGCCTTCACATGTGGTCTAGGAGAAGGGAGTGGTCTCACTCATAGAATATCAGGGTTGGAAGGGACCTCAGGAGGTATCTAGTCCAACTTCCTGCTCAGAGCAGGACCAATCCCCAACTAAATCCACAAATGGCCCCCTCAAGGATTGAGCTCACAACCCTGAGTTTAGCAGGCCAATGCTCAAACCACTGAGCTATCCCTCCCCCCGGGTCCATCTAGCCCAGTGTCCTGTCTGCCGACAGTGGCCAATGCCAGGTGCCCCAGAGGGAATGAACAGAACAGGGAATCATCAAGTGACCCATCCCCTGTTGCCCATTCCCAGCTTCTGGCAAACAGAGGCTAGGGCCACCATCTCTGCCCAGCCTGGCTAATAGCCATTGATGGACCTATCCTCCAGGAACTTCTCTAGCTCTTATCCGCATCCTGAGCCAGGCTCTTATCCGAGCCAGTTTGCTGTGATTGGAATCTCAGCCCGGCATAATTGTGACCTTCAGCCGAGCCCAGCAGCAGGGCAGGAGCGGCTCCACGAGATCAGAGGCTTTCCCAGGGAGGCAGGGACCGTGTTCCCTGCTCGGAGCCGCACGCACACACAGCGCTTCCTGCGCTGGCGCCACTTGCGGGGCTGAAGAGGAACCGTGGGGCCGTTCTTGCAAAGGTTGGTTAAGCCAAGCCCCAGCCCAGCCTCCCACTCAGCTCATGAGAAAAGCCATAGCCAGCCGGTGCAGCCAGCCTGTCCCAGCCCCACAGCCGTTCATTGCTCCCGCCGCTCTGAGCCGCCGCCCCACACTGGACAGGGATCACATAGCCCCATTCTTATCTTTGAGGTTCTAACCAGCCGTGCCCCAAGCCCCCGAGGCCCCGCAAACACAATGATCTCTCCATTCCCCCCCACTCGCCCACTCTCTGATCGCTTGCACCAAGAACCTGTCCACACTTGGGAATTTACTAACGGAGCTATTCTGGAATAAGGGTGTCCACACGAGTGCTCAGTCCAGAATAGCTGTTGTGGTACATTTCCAAGCACAACCAACCCCTGAGATACGGGGGGGGGGGGACATTGGGACTCCCTGCCCTGCACAGGAGGGTTTGTCTCAGCCCAGGGTAGCACAAAGAGCTCCTCTCACACCATGGAATTCCCCCAAAGGCTCCACATGCAGGTTGGATCCTGTCCAGAGGCCCCTGGCACCACCACCAAAGCCAGGGCCACCCTTGCAGGCCGCTGCAGCGCCGATGATTTTGGAATACAGGGGTGGCCTCTGGCTGGGAGTCACAATCCCTTTGTTTCCCTTTCAGCAGCTGTGTTTAGCTGCTTGCTCGGGCAGTGCCTGCTGTTTAATCTTGAGTCCGTTCTCATTTAGATCCCTGCTGCTGGCAGAATACGGAGCTAGGATCTGGTTTAGATGCAGAGCTCTCTCACAGGAGGAACAGATGTGCAGATGGGATGACAAGTCACTAGGCACCAGCCAGGCTGGGGGCCTCAGGAACAGCTAGAGCCTGTAGGATTGTTTGGTTTATGGGAGGGACGTGTGTGTGGCTCCAAGCCCCTGCCCCTGCATGCGGCAGGTCTGCAATCTTACTCCTGTCCCCACTGAAGTCAAAGGCAGAAGCTCCCATTGACTTCGGAGCAGACTGGGGAGCTGCGAGGGCAGCACGGCACGGCGCCACGGCAGCATTCATAGTGCTGTGCCTCGTTCTCGCTCTCCGAGGCAGCGGGAACGTGCTACGGGGCACAAACATTCCCCCTGCTCAGCCATATCAAACTGGTCATAAGAAAAACAGGGCTTTGAAGCCAATCAAGATAAAGCAAAATATAAACAACAGGAGATTTTTGTTGGAGATACCGTAGCACAAATAATTCCTGTTTCCCTGGGAGAGCTGATGCTAATCAGCATTTGTTCTGCTGCTAACGCAGCCCCAACCCACCGGGCTGGAAACCCAACCCCAAAGCAAACTGAGTGTAGTGTTTCTGCAAGGAAAGGCAGGGGATTATTACTCTGAGTGGGGGCCAGGTTCCTCCAGGATGAAATCGTCCTGTCTGCTTGCTCAGCGCTGGCTGCTCAGGTTTCCCAGTAGCACTCTCTCAATGGCAGATTGCAAAACTTGAGACAGTTCCTGACTTCCCCCTGCGGGATCCAGGTAAGAAGGGCAGTTCTCACTACCCAGCAACTGAATGGCTGACACCCTGCCCTAGTGCCCGGTTCTCTCACCTCCTAATTCAGGGGGAAATTCACCCCTGAGCGGTGCCAGCACAAGGCCTTGGTACCCCCCCACCCCTCATCCCTTAAATCCTGCTGCAGCCCTATGGGTTAGGTTTGGGGAAAGCTTAGCATGTGTCAGGTGCATGGCGAGTGCTGAGCATGGGCCACAGGGGTCTTGAAATACACAGAACAGTGCAGCCCAGGCCAGGAGTGATACTCAGTACAATATCCAGCTCCTGCCGGGCAGAGGCTGACGTTAACAAGGAGCAGAATGAGGAGTCTGGAGAGGAGGCGTCGGCCTTCAGCTGCATTTAGGGCGACCAGACAGCAAATGTGAAAAATCGGGATGGGGGTGAGGGGTAATAGGAGCCTATATAAGAAAAATACCCCAAAATCGGGACTGTCCCTATAAAATCGGGACATCTGGTCACCCTAGCTGCATTCCCAATAGCTGAGCTGTGACTCTGGCCTGACATGTGAAGGGTGGCGGTGGGGGTGAGCGGATTTGATGTGCGATTCCTTTTCCTGGCATA